GTTCTCTGCAATTGTTTTCGTATATATGGTCAGGAAGCTCTACGAGTCCCCCGGCGGTAAGGAAGGTTGACGGCTTACCGCCGGCGCCCAGTGTGTACTCTGACAATCAATGAATCTGCTCGCCGACAATCAATGAGCACGTACGATACACAGGCCGTGTACGGTAATGAGAACCAAACAGAGCAGCACGGCACAATGCCGCTCGAGACGAGAGCCCCGAACGGGAGCACCCAGCCGCCAGACCCCTGAGGAGGGAGGCAACCATGTTACCGCCGGGACCCTCGTAGAGCTCTCAACACGCGAATAAGTGCCTAGATGATGAGGAGGACGCTCCTCGAAACTCAGCTTAAAAACGTGCAAAATCTATTTTTTTCGGGTTTTAGACGACGTCGCCCCCCCAAGTGTTTCGATAGTAGTACTGCAGCTAGGGAACTGAATTTGACAGGCATACCCGGCATAACCTACGGCAGGTGTGAGAAACATTGGTTTCCGGAACGAAATGATAAATCTCTGAGAATCTTCAAAAAAACCGACCCCAGGTTGACGCATGTCTGCCCGGGCCGGTGTCCAACTGGGAGCCGGCGGTAAACCGGCAACCAGGTGACCGCCAGGACCCTCGTAGAGCTCAGATTGCCAGGAGGAAGGCTCGGAACTCAGCGCGAAAACTAGCAAAATAGATTTTCGGGTTTATGCAAAATCGCTTCCCCCGCGTCTTTAGACAGTAATATCGCAGCTACAGACCTGTGAATTTGACAGGCAGACGCGGCATAACCCACTACACGTGAACAAAATATTGGTTCTCGAAACGAATAGTTGAAGGAGAGAGAGAGAGAGAGAGAGAGAGAGAGAGAGAGAGAGAGAGAGAGAGGGGGAGAAGAAGAACAATAATAAGCAAGAAAAAACAAAAAAACGACCAGGTCACCCCATTGTCCGTCCGGCCCGGGTGAGCCAACTAGCTCCACCCCGCGCGGGAATTCCTTTAGCTCATCGATTTCGAAGAGCTCTGCGAGATGCTAGCTCCATCCTGCGCCGGAATTCCTCTAGCTTATCGATGGCGAACCTTCTCAGATCGGGTCGCGAGCCCCGGGTCTACTCCCCGGGCCCGCGCGCACACCCGAGGTCTCGCCACTGGAGGTCTTCGCCCCAGAGACGCGCACGCGCCCCAGGGTCTTCCCCTCCAAGACCCGCGCCAGGAAAACCGCGCGCGCTTAAGCGTGCGCGGGAGGAGGAGGGGCGCGAGACTTTCAAGATCTTAAACTTTCAAGCGAATTTAAAGTTTGGACGAAGTTAAAATCAAAGTCCGGAGCTCGCTCGGGGGGGTCGAACCAAAGTCAAAGTCAAAGTCGAGCGTCGACTTTGACTTGACTTTCAAGCCCACATTGAAACCCATTTTGAAAACTGGGCGCCACTTTCACCTTGACCGTCGGCGAAGCCTTGGAGTCAGGCGCGGGAGCGCTGCAGGTGCCCACGTCCGCCCCGAGCCCGCTCCCGCCCCCGCTGATCTTCCTTCTCCTTCTTCTCTATATTAACCTTCTTCTGCTCCTCTGCTCTTGCTGTCGTCTGTTTTCCCCCATCCCTCTCGCTCTCCTGTGTCCTGTTTTTCCTTGCTTCCCGCCCTCCTCCCCTCCCGAGCCTGGCTCTCAGCGCCAGGGCCGGGGCCCCTCTGCCCCCACGGGCCGGGAGACGAAAACCACGGCGAACAATTCTGGATAGTCCCCCCCCTCCCAGCCACGGCCGAAGCCGGCAGCAGCCGCAGCCGCAGCCGCGGCCGCGGCTGGGAAATGAAAAACTACAGCGAAAAAATCACAGTTGGTCCCCCCTCCCTGCCGCGCCGCAGTCTCGACCGCAGCCGCGGCTGGGAAAGGAAAACCGTCGCGAAAAATTCGCGATAGCTCCCACCTGTAGGGCGCGGCCGCGGCCGCAGCCCCGACCGAAGCCGCGGCCGCGGCCGGAAGAAGAACACCACCGCGAAACATTCGCGATAGTTCCCCCCCAACTGCGGCTGCAGCCGCAGCCCGAGCGCAGACGCGGCCGCGGCTGTCAAAGGAAAACCATCGCGAAAAATTTGCGGCTCTCTCAGCCGCGTCCGCAGCCGCGGCCACAGCCGCAGCTGCGGCCGCGGCTGGGAGAAGGAAAACCACCGCGCAAGAATCGCAATAGTTTCCCCTCCCAGCCGCGCCGCAGCCGCAGCCCCAGCCGCGGCCGGGAAAAGAAAACCACCGCAAACAATTCGCGATAGTTCCCCCCTCCCAGCCCGCGGCCGCAGCCGCAGCCCGCAGCCGCGGCCGCGGCCGGGAGAAGGAAACCACCCCGAAGAATTCGCGATAGTTTCCCCCTCCCAGAAGTGGCCGCAGCCGCAACCCCCACCGCGGCCGCGGCCGCGGCCGGGAGAGGAAAATCCACCGCGAAAAATTTGCGGTAGTTTCCCCCTGCCAGCCGCGGCTGCAGCCGCAGCCCCGACCGCAACCGCGGCCGCGGCTGGCAAAGACAAACCGCGGCCGCGGCCGGAACAGGATAACCACCGCAAAAAATTCGCGATAGTTCCTCCCTCCCAGCCGCAGCCGCAGCCGTGGCCCAACCGCGGCCGCGGCCGCGGCCGGGAGAGAAAAACCAGCGCGAAAATTTGCGAGGGCCCCTACCTCCCAGCCGCGGCCGCGGCCGCAGCCCTGCCGCAGCCGCGGCCGCGTCCGGGAGACGAGAACCACCGCGACAAATTCGCGATAGTTCCCCCCTCCCAGCCGCGACCGCACGCAGCCCCAACTGCGGCCGCAACCACGGCGGAGAAAGCAAAACCCCTGCAACACAAATGCAATGGCTCCCCCCTCCCAGACGCGGCTGGGAGAAGAAAACCACCGCAAGAAACTCGCAATAGTCCCCCCCCTCCAGACGCGGCCGCGGCCGCGGCAGCCGCGGCGGGGACCAGAAAAGGACCGCGAAATAATCGCAGTAGTTTCCCCTACCAGCCACGGCCGCAGCCGCGGCTCTCACCTTTGACTTGGAAATCCAAATCAAGATTCGATAGCGACTTTCACTTTGATTTTGAATCCCACTTTGAAACCCACTTTGAATGTCAAATTCAAAGTCGATATCGACTTCACTATGACTTTCAACGAAACTTGAAATTTATTCGAAGTCAAAGTCTCTGGTAAACCGTCAACCTCGGTTAGCGCCGGGAACTCGTAGAGCTCACAGACGAGGCGCCGGGCCTGGGCGAGGCTGAGGCCTCCTTCGCCCGTGCCCGCAACTTTCGCCTGCTGGCCCGCCTTTTCCTTGTCGGTGGATGAATCTCACGGCAACCAGGGGGGTGAACGGCGGGATCCACGTTCAGCCCGAGGAAATCGCCAGGGACTTGCACGGGCACTGGGAGAGGGTCTTCAAGCGCGGGCCGACTGATGAGGCGCTGCGCCAGCCGTGGCTCTCCGAAGACATCCCTCCAGCAGCCCGCAGCCCGTTGCCCCGGGCGACTTCGTCTGCCTGGCAGCCCACCTGCGGTGGTGTGCGACGCGCGTGTTGGGGGCTGCGGGAATTGGCTGTCGGCGTGCTCCACCGCGAACTCCTGTGCCTGATGACCCCGGAGGGCAATTCGTCGCGCACCAGCCGCGATCCAGACTTCAATGCCGCGCTGACGTTTTTCACCCCGCAGAATCTAGGCCCCCAAGATGGGGTCGGAGTACATGGGGTCGGAGGGTCGCGCCGCATCGCCGATGCATCGCCGATTCGGCTCGATGTGAGCCCGATCTGCTTCGCGTCGACGTCGCCGATGCATCGCCCACGTCGGCGATGCATCGCCGGTGCATCGCCGATGCATCGTCGATATCGGCGATGCGGCGCGATCCTCCGACCCTATCTACTCCGACCCCATCTGGGAGGCCTCTAAAGAAGGAGGCGCGCACCGATTCTGCGATCCGCAGAACGTGAGGCTGATTAGCGTCACGAACTTCAATGGCAGGATTCTCTTGCAGGTGGTGCTTCTTCGGTTCGAACCTCTCTTTGAGAGCTTGGTCTTTCGCTCCCAGCGTGGGTTTATTGGCGGCCGTTCGCTGCTGGCCAACCTGCTGGACAATGAGGAGCGGATGATGGAGGTCTCGCTCCGGTCTGCGCGGGGGGCGAGCTTCTTCTTCGATTTCGCGGATGCCTTCCCATCGATCGATCATGCCTTCATCCTCGACTTGCTCATCCACCTCGGGCCCCCGGACTTCCTCGTCAGGTTCGTGGCCGACATCTACTCGGATATCATCGTGTATGTTGCGGTTGCTGGCCAGCGGTTCCGCGGCTTCACGGTCGCGGCCGGCGTCCGCCAGGGAGATCCGCTTTCGCCGCTGATCTTCGCTATCGCGGCGGGTCCGCTGCTGCGGCGACTCGCGCGTCTCTTCCCTGTCGCCCTGGTCCGGGCCTACGCGGACGACCGCGCGTTGGTGGCGGGTGATGTGCCGGCCGACGCCCCGCTGCTGGAGAGACGCTGTTCGAGGTGTGCACGCGTCTCTCCGGGCTGCGCCTCCATTTGGGGGAGTTTGTAATCATCCCAATGTCTCCAGGGGAGTGTGAGGACTCGCGCTAGGATGTTGCCCAGGTCACGACAGCATGGGCCGCCGTGCGGGTCGCGACTGACACGGACTACCTCGGGTTCGTGCTGGGCCCGACGAGCGGCCGCAAGCCGTGGTTCAAACCGCTCCAGAAGATGCTCGACAGTGCTCGGGTCTGGGGCGAAGAGGGTGGGGAAATGCAGGTGTCGCTCTCGGCGGCCCGGGTGTACATCACCTCCACCGCTGGTTTCGTGGCCCCGCTCCTGCCCCCTCCGCCGGGTTGGGGGACTTTGGTCTTCTCCCAAGGCCGCCAGATTTTTTGTGTGCTTGGCCTTCTTGCCCTTCTTGGGAGCTGCGCTATTGCGGGGTCCTTCGCGCTTCGGGATGGCCGGTGGTTTGCGCGATCTTGAACGGCTCTCCCTGGCGGCGCGTGCTCGCGTATACCGTTGCGAGGCCCGCGAGGAGGGGGGATTGCAGATGGCGGCCGGGCGCCGGCACCTCCGCGACGCCATCTCGCTGACCGAGCGGCTGGGCCGCCTCGCCGTCTGGACTCCGTGGTGCGACAATGCCCTGTGCTGCCGCGTCTGGGCGGCCAATGCTTTCTTCGTTCAGAGTGTTTTCCCAGCGGAGGTCGTGCAGGGCCGGATCCTCCAGCGCGTGGGCGCGATGGAGCTCGCAGAGGCGGTGCTGCAGTGCAGGACTGGTGCCGCAGGCGTTGGCAAGGTAGCCTTCGGGATTTCCTTCGACCCGCTGCCGACGAGCATGCCCGTCGTTTCCTCCGGCGGCGATTGGACAGATGGGGCATCCGTGTCTTGCTTGGCCACCGGGTGCAGCGAGCCCTGAACGTGTTCAAGCAGTTAGCTGGGAAGGTGCCCGCCCGGGTCCTGGCGGCCCTCTTCCGCGCGTTGTGCAACGGCTGGTTCACGGCGCGCCGCCTCCAGCGCTCGGCCTCATGCATGTTCGGCTGCGGCGGGCTGGACTTCATCTAACTTTCTACGCGCTACCCGCCCGTGGGCCAGTTCGCCCGCGCTCGGCTGACCCTCCCGCAGCACGAAGATCCCTTGGCAGAGTTCATCATGCCCTCTGGGGTTGGCGCAACAGAGGATGACGTCCTGATCAGGCGCGCTGTGAGGGCAGCAGCCGTCTACGAGCATGGCACGTCCGCCGCTCCAATGAGGCCGCCGGGCGCCGTCGCGTCACCAGGCGCGCTCTCGCAGGTGCTTGGTGAGATGGTCCGCAGCCGCCCGCGCGCTGCTAGGGCGGTCGGGCGTTCGTTTATTAGCTGGGGTTGACTCGTCCTCCCCCCTCTCCCTCTCTCTTGCTGTTGCTGCTGCTGGCCCAGTGCTCTTGGCGCTGCGGCGTTGTGCCTGCCTCGCTTGATTTAGTTCTCATGTTCTCCGCGTGGGGCGTGGTATTCGGCCAGGTCGCTGGCCTAGTCCCATGTTGTGCCGGATTTCAGTGCCGCCGATCTGGGGGGTTGAGACTTGGGGACGTCTTGGAGGTTTCTGGAATTGTCTTCGGGGCATCTTGGGCGGTTGGAGCGATGTTTCGGCGATTCGGTGCCCTCTTGCCTTGTCTAGGGGGCCTGTGGGGTCTCTCTTGGCTTCCTCTTGGGCTGTCTTGGGCGGTCGGGGCTCCGGCAGTGGAGTTTTCTATGCCCCCCTGTCCCCGGGCACCGAAAAACGTCGGAAATGACGTCGGAAATATCTCCGTGTACCGAAAAACATCGGAAATGACTTCGGAAATAGCGCCCCCCCCCCCCCCCTGCAGAGCGAAGCTTGAGCGAGCTCAAGTCCACGCTCTCAGAAACTCACGCGCCGGATCGGTGGATTTGGTGGCAATTTTGGCCATTAGGGCTTCACGCGACATGTTGCTTTTTCCTCCCAAGCCGAGGATCAGTGCGCGGGCTCACCTATCGCAGGTTGGCTAGCGCTCGGGTCTGGGTTTTGCTTGGCGCCCGCGTGGTGCTCGGTGTTGAACTCAGAACGTTGTCCGCCATGAGACCCAGCTGAGCCTGTGAGGGCTCTTTTTGGAGGCGTTGCGTTGCCGGATAAGGCGCGGCGCCTGAGCCTAGGAGGACACCTTTTGGAGGCATTACGTTGCCAGATATGGCGCGGCGCCTGAGCTTGCGAGGGCACTTTTTGGAGACATTACGTTGCCAGAGAAGCGCAAACAGTTTTCAATTGCCACCAGAAACGCCCCCACAGGATGGCAACAAACGTGCCCAGATGCGTGCTGGGTGCGAACCCACGCGCGCGGGCGCGCGCAAGCTGAGAGGGGCAGCGCTTCCAGTTCTTGTCTGGCCAGGTATCCATCAGAATCGGCGGTTCGCCTGATGCATTCTCGAACCAGTGGGTTTTGACAAGGAGTTGGTTTGAGACGTCTTATGTTCGGAGGGGGACTCTCGCTGGAGACGTCCTCGGGGCATCGAGATCTTGTATTGGGTTGCCGGCGTGCTCGGATATTTGGACATGTCCGTTTCGACTGATACATCCTTCCCACGCATGAAATGTTGAAAGATGTGTGTTCAAGACGCTTTATGTTGAAACCATAGCTCCCGCTCGAGGCACCCTCGAACAAATGCGATGCTGAGATCGGTCGCGAGCGAAATCGCCCGAAGACTCAGCAATGCCAGTTTCGTTAGGACATCAGCTGTTTAAAAGAGTTTTTTTTCCGAAGCGTCTTCTGTTAAACCTGGGGCTTCCGCTCGAAACATCCTCGAAGCATGATAATGCTGTGACCAGGAGCGAACTCTACGGAGCCCTTCCAAAACTGACGTTTCGCCCGATAGATCTTCACACAGTGGGAATTGCGAAGAGTTGGCTTGGGACGCCGAAGCTCGAAACCAGCGATCTCAAGTGCCCCAGCAGCTACGCCACAGGGTCAACGCAAACGTACGCACATTTCAACTGCCACGCGCAGCAAACGCAACCAGAGTTCAGCGACAGACAGACCGTAGCGCACGTATCCACAATTCCACCAACGCCAGCAGCTTCACCTCAGGATGGCAGCCAGCGTGCTCCCATTTCAACTGCCACGAGCAACCACGCCTCATACGTAATGGCAGCAAACGTGCCCAGATTTTAACAACCACTGCCGGCAAATGTCCTAACATTTCAGCGAGAAAAAAGATTGAGCAGACGTACCCATTTTTCAACTGCCAACAGCGGATGCATCATAGGATCGCAGCAAACGTACCGCATTTCAATTGCCATTGGCATAATATTTCAACAACAGAAGGGCCGCAGCAAACGCACCCGCATTTCATTTGCCACCAGCAACTACACACATGTTCGCCGCAAACGTACGCACATTTCAACTGCCACGAGCAGCAAACGCACCCACAGCTCAACGGCAAAAAGGCCGCAGCAAATGTACCCGCACGTCCGGTGCCACCCGCTGCTACATCCCTTCATGACAGGCAGCGTGCTCTCATTTCAAGTACCACTGGCACCAAACGTACACAGTTTTCAATTGCCCATATCAGCTGTACCACAGGATGGCATGTCATCAGCCACAAGCCAGCGACCGCACACCATGTGCAAGCATGCGTTTTGGGTGCAAATCCACGCGCGCGTGCGCACGCAAGCTGAGAGAATGGGATCTTTCCGTTCTTGTCCACATAGGTTCTTCGTCGCCCCTGTGGTCCACGTCGTTGTCTTCCTCTCCCCCTCATCCTGCTGATCCCCATCCCCCCCTATGCCTTTCCTTCTTCCTTCCCCCTCTCTTCTTCTGCTCCCCCATGCTGCTTCATCCCCCTCCCAGCGTCCTACCTGTCGTCGAGCTGCTCCTGGGCGCAATCCCCGCGCCCAGGCCGCGCGCAACCTTGCTCGAGTAATTTTTTGTATTGGCTTCGGAGCTGTTTGAATTTCTGCTTGCTTTTAGTGAGGCGCGCGAGGAAGGGGTGGAAGGGGGAAGAGACGGACGAGGCGGAGGAGGAATAGGAGGAGCAGGAGGAGGAGGAGGAGGAGGAGGAGGAGGAAGAGGAGGAGGAGGAGGAGGAGGGGCATCGAGGTGGAGGAGGACTGACATGAGGCACTTGCGGAGCCAGAGGCGCAGGAAGAGAAGGAGGAGAAGATAAACGGAACGCGAGGACGAGGGGTACAGTCAATCCTTAACATTTTGCGTATCCTCACCAGCCCATCCAGAAGCATGTTGCCAGACGAGTTGCCGTGATTAGGGAAGTGTCGAAGAGTGCAGTGTAAAAACCGCCTTGGAAGCGTTTTCTCGGAGGTCTCTTGAAACCACCTTGGGGCTCTCTTAGGGTCCTCGCGGAGCCTCTTGGGGCACTCTTGAGGCCTTCTTGGGGCTCTATTGGGGCATTCTTGGAGCCCTCTTGGGGCTTGATGGGGTGGTCTGGGAGGCCCCTTGGGACAAACTTGGCCCCCATTACTATTAACCCGGGGGGTCGGAAATTGAGGTCCCCCCTGGGAGGCCCCAGACTGGCGTGTTGAGGCCCTCTTGGGGCGCTCTTTGGCGCTCTTGGGACCGTCATGGGGGCATCTTGGGGCCTCAACAGCCCATCGGAAGCGAAAAGGCGAGAAAGCCAAACACATAGATATTCCATAGGTTTTGGAGCTATTTTGGCTTTTTGGGGGGTTCCTTGGAGGGCTCGGAGTGCACTTGAAACCGGCTTGGGGTTGTCTTGAGGCCTCTGAGATGTGAGTTGGAGGCTATCTTGAACCATCTTGAGGTGTCTAGAGCCATCTTGGAGGCCATCATGCGCTCTCAGAGGCCCTCTTGGGGCCATCGTGGGGCAGGGCAGGGAAAGGAGGGAGCTTCGTTAGAGAGAAGACACAATTCGTTAAACCACATACGCCCAGAGGGCTGGTGAGATTTGCATAGTAATGATGAACAACTTCCCAAGGCTAGCCTTGCATCCTTGCCCTTTCGGCCCATCCAAGGCGGCTTTCGCTGTCCAGTCTCGTTCGAAAACGCCAACATGGCCCTCCAAGGCCCTTGCATCCTTACCACGCATCCTTATGATGCGATTCGACTGTACGGGGGATCGGGAGAACAAGCAGCTGGAGGAGGAGCAGAGGCGAAGGACTTGGATCAGAAACAATAGGCGCCACTTAGCACGCTGGGGTTGGACGAGGCGCCCAGAAACAACTACCTTTCTCATGGCTCCTCTTCGCTCTCCCTCCCTCCCTCCCTCCCTCCTCCTCCTCCTCGTCCTCCTCCTCCTCTTCCCCCCCCTTTCCCCTTTTGATCTTGTAGAAAGAGAAAAGACGAGTTGTGGGAAGCAGAGCAGGGATGAGGAGAGATGTAAGCAAGTGCCTCCCCCTCTTCTCCCTGCTCCTCCCTCCCCATCCTCCACCTTCCTTCTCCTCCCTGCGTCTTCCTCTGCGCTCGCGCGGGGCAGGAGGAGGGACGGGGAGGAGGCACGGGGGTGGAGGGAGGAGGAGGGGAGGAGCAGGCAGGAAGGAGGAGCAATGGGGGAGACGGAGGGGTGGCGAGAGGGAGGAACTGGAGGAGCTGGAGGAGCTGGAGGAGGAGGAAGAGGACAACCTACCGACGATGATGACGACGATGACGACTTCCAGCAGGCCGCCATGGGGCACGGGCAGGCCTCGTGCTGCCTACCCCTCGGCGCCCTGGGCGGGCGCGCCCGCGGCGGCAGGAGCGGCGGTGCCCCGGCGGCCTTCGGCGGCCGCAGGTAGCGGAGCGAAGGTCTGCGGCGGCGTGGCGGCGGCGCCGTCGCCCGTCGGGGCCGGCGAAGA